ATGGCAGAAAGACACTGTTAAGGTCACTTGTTGCTTTTGCTATCTTGTGCCTTCCATGAACTGTTCTCTTCTGTGAAGCCACCCTGCATTGGAGCCAGCTGATTATGGACTGAAACCTCTACAAACTGAGCTAAATAGACCTTCCCCCTTTAACTTTGGGTGTTGGGTATTAGAGAAAAGTAACTAAGACACCATTGCAGGGAAAAAGATGAGATCCAGAGGAAAGATAAATTCACTGAAGCATATTATAAATAAATGAAAAAGTAACACTTTAAAGCCACAAGAGCAGGTGCTCTTTTATAGTCTTATATTGGCAGTTGAGTATTTATTAAAACAAATAAAAACTGGGTGGCTGGAAAAATAAACATGCTGACTGTAAGGAAGACAAATGTGCAAAAACCCAAGACTTTCAATAAAGAGAAAAATGTCCTGCTGGGTAAGGGTCGTGGTGAGTCTGTATCTATCTAAGATTCTGTGGATTCATTTAAGTGTTGAAAACATAGAATTAAACAACTGCTACATGTGACTTTAAAATCAAGTCCCACTTCATCGTTCCATTTCCAAATTCTTACTCTATGACAGCTGGTAAATGCTGAGCAAATTACGGCAATTTGGGCTTTTCAAAATGAACACATTAAAATTTTTAAATTTTGATAAAATGATCAGGCAATTTATTTCCTTTATTGAAATTCTCAATGTACAGGAAAGGGCAAATTACGATGACTAGATGTTTAATTACTTTACACTCCCCAAAGTTATTGTACTCTTCATTATGCTTGCTAGCCTCAAATACTTCAATTTTCTAGACACTTGAACAAACTAACAAAAACCAAGTCTCTGTCTCAATTTAGGAAAAGTAAATTCTGTTTGAGCGTTAATATAGTAAATTCTTATATTGTTGCCAAATCAGCTTTGGGATAACACTGTTATGAACAGTTATGTTTTGGAAAAGATTAAACTTTTAAAAAAGATGAATGGTTGGCAAGTGGCCTGTGAATAATTACAAGGGAAGGGCCGGAGATTTAGCTCAGTGGTTCTGCCACCTGCTTCGCAAGTGCAAGGTCCCAAGTTAGAACCCTGGTACCAAAAAAAAATAAAAATTTACAAGGGACACTTCAAGCAAAGGAACTTAGGGTGAGCTCTTTAATCAATAATTATCAACTATAACATTGGTTCTAGGTGGGCATGGTGGTACATGCCTATTAGCTCAGCACTCTGGGAGGCTGAGGCAGGAGGATTACAAGTCTGAGCCCATCCTGGGCAGCACAGTGACTTAGTGAGACCCTGTCTCAAAATTTAAAAAAGAAAAAGTTGAGGATATACCTCAGTGCAAGTGCCCTGGGTTCAATCCCCAGTCCCAGGGTGGGAGTATGGGGATTTTCATTAGCTTTGCCTTCCACAGAAAGACTGGTGATTAGACCATTTTGTGGCATAGACATCAACAGAACATTTGTAAATTGCAAAAGGCAGAGAGATAAAAGAATCGCCAAAAGGATGTTGCTATACTATCCAACCTCATTCTGAATTAAAATCAGGTATTTTTCTTACCGTCATTGGAACCAAAGCTTCCATCAATGGATTTCCTATGAAACCTGCAAATAAACAAGGATACATGCTTCTAAGACAGTGAAAGCCTCAACATTTTACATTTGTTTCTTGTACACTTTGCTGTAGATTTGCCTGTGAAGATCTTTTTTATTATTATTTAAATTTTTTTCATTAATTTTATTGGTACATTTTAGGTATACAATATGCTGACATTCATTATTGGGAATTTGTACCTTTAAATAATATATCTTGGTTCTGAGGGCAGGGTGATGGGGAAAAAACAAGTGCCTGTGAAGATCTTTAAAAATGGGCCACTGGATGTGGAGAAATTGGAGCCCTGATACACTGCCATTAGAAATGTAAAATGAAACAGTTACTCTGGAGAACAAGTTCCTCAAAAAGTTAAATGTAGAGTTATTATACAACTCAGCAATTCCATTCCCAGGTATTTACATCATTCATTCATTTACATCATCATTCATCAGTTTATAGATACAATTTACATACTATAAATTTACTCTTCAATGAGTTTTAGTATTTTCACAAAGTTGTATAACTATCACTGCTATCTTATCTTAGAGCAGCTTCGGTACTCCAAAAATAAACCCTATGTCCATTATTAGTAACTCCTCATTGCCTTCTTGCTCCAGACCTGGACAACCACCCATCTACTTTCTGTCTCTATAAATTTGCGTATCCTGGACCACTCATATTAATGGAATCATACTATATGTGAATGTGTTTTACTGACTTCTTTCACTAAGCACAATGTTTTCAAGGCTTACCCATGCTATAGCATGTTCATTTATTTGTTTCCACTTGATGGATGTTTTTCTTGTTTCCACCTGCTGGCTAACATGAATAACACACCTATGAACATGTGTGTACAGATTTTTCTGTGGGTATATATTTTCAATTCTTTTGGGTACAAACAGAAGAGTAAATTTCTGGGTATGAGTTAACTGTATAACTTTTGCCCCCAAACTCTTTTCCACAAAGGCTGTATAGCAAGAACTATTATTCTACATTCTTATCAGGAAGGTATAAGGGTTCCGATTTCTTTATATCCTTGCTAACTCTTGTTATTTTTCATCATACCCTTTCTTATGGGAATGACATTTCATTGTAGTTTTGATTTACATTTATCTAATGATGAGTGGTGTCATGTATCTTTTCATATACCTACTGGCCATTTGCATATCTTCTTGGAGAAATATCTACTTTAAATACTTTGCTTTTTTTTTTCTGTACTGGGGGTTGAACCCAGGGAATGCTGAGCTATAACTCCAGTCCTTTATATTTATTATTTATTTTTATTCTGAGACAGAATTTCTCTAAATTTCTCAGGCTGGTCTTGAACTTGTGATCCTCCTGCTTCATTCTCCCAAGTAGCTAGAATTACACATTTGGCTAATATGAGAAAATGGAAAAATAGGAACAAAATCCTTTACCTAATTTTAAATGGGCTTGTATTTTTATCATTGAGTTATAAGAATTTTTTATACAGTGTAAATGCTACATTTTTACCAGATATGCTTTGTAAATATTTTCTCCTATTTTATGAGTTATCACTTTCTTGATAGTATTTTTAAAGCACAAACCTTTTTCTTTCTTTCTTTCTTTCTTTCTTTCTTTCTTTCTTTCTTTCTTTCTTTCTTTCTTTCTTTCGACAGGGTCTCACTATGTAGCTCAGGCTGGCCTCAAACTCACAGCGATCCTCCTGCTGCGATCCTCCCGAGTGCTGGGATTACAGGGGTGCACCACCATGCTTGGCCAAAAGTTTTCATTTTTATAAAGTCTAATTTATCTATTTTTCTTGTTACTAGTGCTCTAGTGTCTTAGAAACCATTCCAGTGTCACAAGGATTCACACTTATGTTTTCTTCTAAGAGGTTTATAGTTTTCGCTCTTATATTTAGGTCTGATTCTTTTCAAGTTAACTTTTGTATATGGTATGAGGTAGGGGTGCAGTGTCATTCTTTTTCATTTAGATATCCAATTTTCCCATCACCATTGATTGAAAAGAATATTCTTCCTTCATTAAATTTTCTTGGCATCTTTGTCAAAACTGATTGACCATAATTATGAAAGTTTATTTCTGAATTACTCTCAATTCTATTCCATTGGAATATATGTCTTTATGTTAGTCCCCAAGTCTTGGTTATTATGATTTTGTAATACATGTTGATATAAGGAAGTATAAATCCTTCAATTTAGTTCTATTTTCACAACTTGCCAAGATTATTCTGGCTTTTTTGGGTCCCTTGCATTTCTATATGAATTCAGTTTATCAATTTCCATATAAAAGCCAGCTGGGACCTTGGTCAGGATTGTACCAATTTAAGGAGTATTGCCATGCATATTATTATTTTCTACTTCTGCTGTAAGAAATTATCACAAATTTAATGGTATAGAGCACCACACATTGATTACCTTGCAGTGGATGTCAGAAAACTAAAATGTATCCTGTGTGGCTAAAATCAAGGTGTTAGCAGAGCTATCTTACTTCTGGAGGCTCCAAGTGTGTAACCATTTCTTTGCTTTTCCAAATATCTAGAAGTAGCCACATCCCTGGACTCATGGCTCCTTCCTCTATTTCAAAGTACATCACTCCAACCTCTGCTTCCATAGTCACATTTCCTCCTGCTTCGACCTCCTGCCTCCCTGACATAAGAATCCTAATGATTATACTGTGCCTACATGGATAATCCAAGATAATTTTATTACATCTTAAAGTTCTCTTTGCCATGCAATGTAATGGCTTCTCAGATCTGGAGACTAACACCTGGACATATTTTGGGGGCCATTATTCTGTCTACCACACCATCTTAACAAAAAATCTTCCAATCCATGAACATGAAAACTTCATAAAAACTTCCTTTTATCATTCATTTGGATTTTAAGTTTCTTTCAGTGACATTTTGTAGTTTTCATTACACTTACTTTGTAGTTAATATTACACTTAGTTTGTTAAATTTATTCTTCAGTATTCTTAAATTTTTGATGCTTTTGTGAGTTGAATTTTTTCATAATTTCATTTTTGGGTTATCCATTGATTGTATATGGAAATATAACTGATTTTTGTACATCGATCTTGTATACTGCAATCTTGTTGAATTCAGAGTTTCTTTTTGCAGTGACAAAGATACTCTGAAATTAGATATTCAATGACGATGATTGTGTTACTCTGATTACACTAGAAATTCCAGAATGGTATATTTTAAAGGGGTGAATTTTTTGATCTATGGTTTTTCTCAATAAAACTTTTTAATAAGTCAGATATACATTTGGGATTGTCTATCAAAAATTAAAATGTAAATTACTTGCTTCTCCCAAATTGAGCCTTATTTTTGGATGTGAGATCAGAGGGATTGGAAGTGCTTACTCTTTGGTACATCTTTCTTCTTATTTATTTCCAGATGGGGACCTTGTTTCTGGTATGTTTGTGGAAGACCTTCCTGCAAAACTCTTTTGTTCCTAGATACACCAAATTCATCCCTGCCTTGGGGCCTTTGCTTTTGTTCTCTGACAGTGCCACTCTCTCCCCAGATCCAAGTAAGGCTGTCTCCTTCTTGCCATTCAGGTCTTTGTTCTGAGAGGTCTTTTCTCCTGATCAAATCAAATCTAAAGTGGTGTTCACAACCCAGTAATTCTCTATCACATCACTGATGTTTTCTCCCCAGTCACTAACAGGATTTTTAAAAAAATCTCTCCTCTTCAGCAAAGCTATAATAGGGCAGGGATCTAGACTCTTTTGTTTAGCACTGCTATCTCTAATCTCTAGGACAGCAGAGGCAAACCTATGGCACATGTGTGACAGTGGGCACACAGAACCCTCTCTGTGTCACCCCAGCAGCTGAGCATCAGTTAACAGTTGTTTTTTCTAAACTAAAACCTCAGTATTCAGATTTAATTGCAGTGTTGGTTCTTTGTTATAAATAAGTGGGTTTTGGGTTGCAGTTTGGGTCTCTAAAAGGTTCACCATCATTGGTCTAGGACAAGGCCTGATATATAGGAAATGGTAGCTAAATATTTGTTCAATAAACAAAAGTATATCACTAAGGAAAACAGTGATAATTTGGCCTGACTGCTCTAGTTGGCAAATGAGGGTGTGGTAAAGTTCCTTAACAATTTCAGTGATATCAACCAGTAAGCAATTATTTGGACTTACAGGAGATGATGTGTTTGTATTATGTATTTGCATTAAAGGATTCTATCCCTCTTTGCTTTAGCTTTTGGAACTGACAACATTCTTCATTTGAGGAGTTAAGTGATTTACAAAGCTGGGATGAGGCAGGCAGTATCCAGTGAACAAATGAAAAAAACCATAAATGAGAACTGTGCTAGATAACTGCAAAATGATTGTTCCTCATCAATCAGAAGGTTCAGAGTACATCTTTATCTCCAGAGCCTGGACTGGCCTCATGACTATTCCCACTCCAGTAGAGTAAGGGGGACATACTGAACCTACATCCTAAGGAGGCCCTGTACTCCTCTGCCGTCTCTCAATGAAATACAAGAATCCCAAGCAGGCCTGCTGGACAATGAGAGACCAAGTACAGCTGAGGCCATTCTAGAAGACCCAGCTCCTAGCTGACCTGCCAGGACACCACATTTTGTGACCACAGCTGACTGACACCTCTGAGCTGATTGTAGAACTATCCAGCTCACCCACAGATCTGTGAGCAAACTTAAATATTTATTGCTGTATGCTACTGACCTTTTATGGCTAAGAAGCCCCATTGTGGCCATGGGTAATGAATACGAGAATCACAGGGAAGGACAAGCACTCAGGATTGGGCAATTTGGACTTAGTGTCTGGAAAGATGTTTGAAAGGTACCTGTGCAATGCTTGGCCCTGGGGTCTGCACATTCATTGTAGGGGCTTGATAAATACATGTTGAAAGCACTGGGGGATGGAGAAGAATGGTATTTAGGTTCTGGTGAATACAGCATAAGGAGGGTTTGAAGTTTTAGCTCCCTGTAAGGGCCATTTTTCTTATCAATATTTTTCATCCTCATTGCATAGTATATACTATAAATTGCACATGGATTATGAATAAGGTATAGTAAATGGTATTTACCAAGAGAATTGATTTCAAATAGTTTTGTAGGAAGCTTTGTTTCACTTAGTTCAATGAAAGAAGAGTTCCCCGATTAGCATTTTTCCTTCATCTAATTCTCTGTTTAGAATGCCAAATGGTTCTTATGTCTCCAGATTTCTATTTTTCAGTTCATCTATATTTGGAAAGAATCTATGCTTGTGCATTTGACTGTAGCAAAATAATTTGCAACTAGAAGTTTCAACAGAGCTTTAAACCACAACTTTCAAAACCAGCGCTCACTTCAGTTGGCTGGGTAACAACTTCAGAGAGATTGATCATCAGCTACTAATTTTTTTGTCTGTGTGTTGACTATGCATGCTAGCTGACTATTTTTGTTGTTTTTTTTTTTTTGGTACTGGCGACTGAACTCAGGTCCTTGCGCTTGCACAGCCAGAGGCGAAAACACTGAGCTAAATCCCCGGCCCCTGCTAGCTGACTGTTGAGAAGTAATCCTGTTTTCTAAAATCTAAAACATCAAGAGTGCAGTATTCCTAAGAGAGACAGAAGAGAGAACTCATTCAAAGCAAAACTGGAACCTTTTGCGGGCCTTTTAAAAATTATATCTTTTCTGTAGTGCCAGATCTTTGGTTAGGATCCTTGGTCAAGACTGTCTTTCCTCATGAGCCCTGATCCTCCAGATCCATCTTGATCAGCCTGCCTAAGACCTACGGGTCAAGAGCCAGGCTGCCCAGGTTCTTTATTTGTTTGTTGTGAATTCTTGGTCAAATTGTTTAACCTCTCTGTGCTTCAATCTTCTTGTCACATGATGATAATAATAGTATCCCACTGTTAGGGGCATCACATGAGATAATCTATTTAGAGGGGTCAGCACAGAGCAGGTATTTCTTAAATGTTAGTGACTATGATCTGATAAAAGTAATTGATCTAATAATCACTTAATGCATATATTTTTCAGGTATAAAATTTGCCTGTCCCCTGAAGTTTTTGTTTTTACTTTTTTCTGAGACAGGATTTCACTGTGTAGATCAGCCTACAACTCACAATCCTTTTACCTTAGTCTCCTGAATGCTGGGATTACAAGTGTGTGACATCATACCTGGCTATTTTAAACTTTCTATTTGAAAATAATTTCAAATTTGCAAAGAAGTTTTGAGAATAAGAACATAGAATATCCATATATCCTTTACCTAGATTCTTTTATTGTTATCCTATCTGTTTTTTTATCATTCTTTTTTTCATACATGTAATCTATCTAGCTATAAATTTTTGCTGTGTCATTTGAAAGTTGCATATATTGCAGACTTTTGTACCTAAATATTTCGAGTAGGGATTTTCTTTTACATAACTACAAGTATCAAATTTAACAGTGAAATTATACTCTTATCTCACATACTGTCTATATTTCAATTTGTCAGTCGGCCCAATAATGTCCTTTATAGCATATTCTTCTTCTGGTATAAGGTCTAAACTGAGATCAGGTATTGTCTTTTTTTTTTTGGTACCGGAGATTGAACTTGGGTCCTTGTGCTTGCACAACAGGCAGCAAAACCACTGAGCTAAATCTCCGCCCCTAGGTATTGTCTTTAGTTGTCATACATCCTTAGTCCCCTTTAACCTGAAACACCATATACTTTCTTTGTCATTTATGACACATTTTTCCACAGGATTAAATATATACATTTCTGGAATGCTGCATAAATAATCTTTTATCCTTCTTAAGGTGTCATACAGTGTTCACCTTCCATTTGGTGATACTAATTTTGATCACCCAGTAAATGTGTTTCATTCCTTTTTTTTTTTGGTACCGGGGATCGAACTTGGGTCCTTGCGCTTGTGCAGCAGGCAGCGAAACCACTGAGCTAAATCCCCAGCCCTGTGTTTGATTTCTTTACTGTACAAGTACTGTGATACTTAAGCTGGACTGCCAACTTGATTGACTTGTGAGCCACCCAAACAATTAGTAAAGTACACTTATGGGTTTGTCTGAATGGGCCATTAGAGGTGTGACCTTGGTATCTATAACTGGTCCCTCATCCCTTCCTCTCTGGTACTCTTCCCCTGCTTTGCTTCCTGGCTGCCATGAACAGAGCAGTTTTCCTCTGCTACCCCCACCATGATGCTCCTGCCATGGAGCCAGCCAATCATGGACTGAATCCTCTGAAACCATGAGCCAAAAAAACCTTTTCTTTTTTAAACTGTGGGTATCAGGTATTTCTACTCAGCAGTGGGAGGAGCTTACTAATACAGTTATTATTATCTTTTTTCTCTCACAACTACCAAGCAACTTGTGAGGATGTACTTTATGGCCACACAGACATTTGATGGTCATCTGATTCCCCCCCATAGATTTAGCATCCACTGATGATTCTTAACCTGATCTAGTATTTGCTATGATATTTGCAAAATGATTTTCCAACTTCAGGACTTCCCATGTGTTTATCAGTCAGCTGTGGGTCCTCTGCTTTGGGAAAAGTCCCTTTTATGGTCAGTCTTTGCTAGTGGCACCTTTCTATAATGGGCACCGGTTTTAGTAAATTTGTTGAATTTAGTAGATATGTGAGTGGTTAGGTCCTTCCTTTTCTTTATTAATACAAACTCATGGATTTCTATTTTATTCCCAGTGGTTTATAGTTTATTATTTCTAATGATTTTGGTGCTAAATTCTCCCAGATTTGACTAGTAGTAGCTGTGGGATTTTGAAGGAAGTTATCTCATTTCAAAAGCTTCACATAGGTCACAGAAGGAAGTTTCTTTTTTTTTGAGCCAGAGATATATCTGTATCACTGAGATTACAGTATCATTGAAGTGGTAGAGAGATCCTTCTACAGATGCTGGCTTTGTTTTCTTAACATGTTCAAGAGGAGAAAGAATATTTGTTTAATGCAAACCTCCTGCCATTCTTTTGTAGCTCACAGAGAACAAAACAAAGAATGGAATTCTCAAGGGTCAGCCCTGCAGAAAGAGAGGGAGAGGTTGGTTGTTTTATTAGGGACTACAAATTCTTGGGAAGGGAAATTTCCTTGATGAAATTATAGCATCATTTTCTCCATTTTTCCCCCATGGGGCATTTTACTGGAAAACTGATGCTACAAAAGTAGAAAAGCACCTGGTAATGTGGCATCAAAGCACATTATTCTGCTACTTATTGTACCTTAAGATTTATTTTTGGCAATAAATTTATTTTTTTGACAGAATGTTCAAAGCTGTTTCTTAATCACCATGTGTAGAAGAACCGATCATTTCCTATAGTCCACAGGATTTACAGTGAGTATTTGCTGCTCTGAAAATTATACAAGCTGCCTTTTTGTTGAGTTTCCATTAGCTATGAAAATAACAAACACCGTATCAACACTTATTATAGGCATGACATTTACGTAAACACTGTAAGCTGTATTACTCTATGAAGTAAATTATTACCTCATTTTACAGATGAGAAGTCTGAAGCACAGAAGGCTGAGCAGTTTGCCCATAATTAGAGGCAGAGGTAGCTTTAGGCAGAGTCAAAATAGCTCTAAAACCTATGCTTTTATCATTATAGAGACAGGCAAAAGGGGTTCACAGTTCTTGAGACTTTTGACTTACCTCACATAATGAACAAACACAACAAGCAGGCATCCCATGTAGAAGGACAAGAAGATGAAGACACTGAAAAGACTGGATTTCACATAAACAGATCCTGAAAAGAGAGAAACAATTTTGGTCAGGCTGTCCTCTGGAGAAAGAGGACTTTGCTTGGGATAGAACAGATGAAACAGCCCACCTCCATCATACGCATTTTTAAGTATCAAGAAATTTTCATTCAGAGCAGCAAAGCTGTGGGAGGTCACCCAGACACAATCCATAAGCAGCTGCCCTTCACAGCAATGGCTTCCCAGTGGAAGGTAGGAAGGGACTACTGTATACAAATCCCGAATTGACTTCCCTTCTTTTGTGGGAGGTATTTAACAAAATGCTCAGATTCTTTTGTCTTTTAGGTAAATAAATTTTAATTTCTTATAATGATTCTTTCTGGGAGGATGACATTAGTATTGCATTATATGAGATCTTTGCTGATATAGGAATCTCTACACGCAACACTGACCTTTAATGGAAGAAACGATGGTTACTTTAAGGTTCTTTGCTCGCTGTAGATTCCAGGTCTGATTCTCATTTTCTGGTAATAATCAAAACAAACAACAACAAAAATCAAGATGCGAGGCACATTGGATCAGATACTCTATTCTTGTCCTCTCTTGATAACAGCTGTTTTAAAATGTCCTGAATTATTCTGGTTGCTGAATTTTATTTTAACAAGAACTGGAAAAAAAATCTCCCCTTCCAAGCCTTCCATCTTCACATGCATCTTCAACAAGGGGTCTATGTTTCAACTGACAGTCCATTCTACTCCCAAAGTAGTACTCCATAGTCATACATATCTATGAGAACTTACATAATCCTTTACCATTGGGATAAGTCACCACACTTGGCTTTCTTACAGTCTTGTGAGGTACCATTTTGGCAACTGGAATGGTGAGCTTTACATTTTCCTTGTACATATTTGTGGAAACGATGACTCCTAATTAATATAAGTGGCTTTATTTTAGGAAATTGAACTTAGAAAATGGACCTTGGTGGCTGCCCGGCCCCGCGCTCACACCCGCCTCCCACCCTGGTCCTGGCTCTGGACCCTGGGCTGCCTCCCTCTCCAAGCCACATCCAGTCCTAGGCGGCCTGGAGCTGACCGAGTTGTGCGGCCCATGGGACAGGAGAAGGAGCCCACGGAGCTAAACAGAGCCCAAGGTGGTGATAGTGGACTGGATGGGTTAGGACAAGGTGTACAACTAGGAAGCCCTGATAAGAAAAAACAAAAGGGAAATACACAAGGACCTTCTTTTCTTCTGTTGTCTGAGTATGCTCCACCACCAAATCCAAACTCTGACCATCTAGTGCCTGCTACTCCATTTGATGACAACTATAATACTATTTCCTACAAACCACTGCCTTTAAAAGTGTCTTTAAAATTAGGGACTTTCATACTTACAAGTTAGTCTTTCTAGAATATCTACGCAGATATGAGACAGAGACAGATCATAACATATGGTAGATTTTCAATAAGTACTTGTTTATTAACTTGTGGATTGTTACTAACTTGTGGATTAACTATATTATTAACTTGTGGACATACTATGTTATTAACTTGTGAACATGAAATTGCTAATATCAGATCAGTTGAAAATTGACTACAATAAGTAAAGTTGACATAAAGCATGTTTCCAGTTGTACTATTTAGAATTATAATATTATACTCTTAATTTTTTTATTGAGTTGTTACTAATTCCAGAGAAATAACTAATATAGTGTCCTCAGAAGAATCGTGAACACTTTCATTTATATGATTTATAACTGAGACATATTGCAAATGAGGAAAGTCTTAGAGGGCTCTGCTAGCAAAAGAACTACTCAATAGTAGTGTGAAAAATCTTGGTCTGAGGATCTGAATTTCTAAAGTAAACTTCAGAGAAGATCAAAATCCCATTTTAAACAAAGACCAATTGATAGCCAAAGTGAAAGCTAAGATTCAAGGCCTCACTGCAGGCTTTGGAGTTTCTCCTATTACTGGTGAAAGCTTGAAACTGGACCTGAGAGTACACTACTGGAGAGCACTGACAGAAGTGTGCTCAATAAGATTCAAAACAGCAAAACCTTATTTTTAGAGCAGATTATAACCTGGGCCAAATAAACAGAAAGATCCTGTATGACAGTCCACAGCAAGCCATACAATGGTTAGATGTTGATGAAGCTCCCTAATAATGCACTCCTGAAATCACTGTGACCAAATGTTCTGAAGGCTATGATGATCTGTTAAGGAGATAATTACTACAGTGCAAACCTGGGGGAAGCAATGACAGCAGCAGCATGTTGTTAAGAAATTTAAACTGCATATGTACATTTTCACTCATGAGCATCCTTTGGTTAGCAAATGCGAACCCATACTTTAACATGACAGGACTTCACCTCATGTGTCCCAAGCCACTCAAGCAAAGCCTGGACCATGAAATTCTGTCATATCCCTTCTAGCCACTGGACTTTTAGCTAAGGGACTACCATCTTTTTCATCCTTTGGAGCTTTTTCTAAGCAACAACATAGTGGGGGGGTGGGGGAGTGGGGGGTGCACGCCTGTAGTCCAAGCACTCAGGAGGCTGAGGCAGGAGAATAGCTGCAAATTTGAGGCTGGCTGGGACTACATATTGAGTTCAAGGCCAGCAGGTTGAACTACACAGAGAGACACTGTCTCAAAAAAAACACAAAAAAGAAAGAAAGAAAGAAAGAAAGAAAGAAAGAAAGAACACATTTCCCAAATGAGAAGCAGTAACTGGAGGATTTGAATAATTTATACAGTCTAACAAAATAATTTTATGAAAATTAAATATTTAATATCTTAGAAAAATGTTGATGTATATTTTAATTGAATAAAACTTATTTTTTAAGTACAACATTTAAATTTTTATTTACGAAATGGCAATTTCATGGGGTACAAGGAAATACAATGCTTTCTCTATTTACACTTGACTAGTCAGAGGTGAGCATAAAGATATTTTCAGTAGTTGTATATGTATACTGTCATGATTTTAGAAGATGAAATGATATAAACTCCAACACTAGTTATTCCTTTGTGTGAAAATGTTACCAGTAGAAGCAGATTATGATAGTATTTTGGACTGACTCTGGCACTGATGGTCTTCAGCACATACTTGAAGATCCTATTGTGCTTACATTATAATTTTTGTTAGAGATAATAATTTTATAAATGTGTAAGGACCTAGTTTTTTTTTTGAAATCTTGTTGAGTGCTGATGCATTGCATGCTATAACCCTACTAGCATCAGATCATGACTTTTTAAGACTCTGCATAGAACTAGGTTTTGTTTTGTGTGGTGCAGTGGATTGAGCCCCTGGCCTTGTGAGTTCTAGGCAAGCCCTCTACCACTGAGCTATATTCCCAGCGCGCAGAAATAGGTGTTTCGAGTAGAACCTTCCAATGCTCTCAGGAGTCCACACTTCACATGGTAGTACTGAGTTATGCTCATTGCTAAAATTGATTTTGCAGTTTATTAAACCCTTTTATTGCTTATAGTTTCAGTAGTTAGCTGTTTTTGTATAAAATGAAATGGTCTCTTCCAAGGTAGTCTAAAGACATTTGATTTATAAAGTGATTCTTTCATTTTCTATTTTCAAGCAATTATCTTTTAAAAAAACACAGACCAACGAATATTTATTTGAGTGTTTTGGTTTTTAAATCACCTTACTTAAATAAGACTCTGAATACTCTAAAGAAAAACTATGGTTGATTCTGACATGAGTCACAGCCAAACTGTCATCACACCTACCTAAGTTTTTCATGTGTTTTAATTAATTTTCTTACTACTTCCACATTTGTCTCTACCAAACACCTGCCCAAAGTTAGATACTTTTGGGTAGGAAAAGTGGTGAACGATGAGAATGGCCAGAAATTTGTACTATTTCACCCAAAGAAGACTATTAATGCAAACTGATAGGGCATTCTTAGGAAAAGCAAAGAGCTGCCCTCAACTTTAATAATTAATATGCAGTAATGGAAAGAAATACATGTAGAATTATACCTTCTTGGGCTACAATCATTTTCCTTCACTCAGAAAGGCCTCATCTCACACAGTTAGCAAAGAAACACGCACAATTGAAATCTGAGTTTCTCCCACACTGTCAAGTTTTGCTGAAGTTCA